TAACTTATTGTTACACACTTTCCTCCCTGCCCGTCCCTCTGCCTCCCCAATTAGCTCTTCTCTTTGAAAAGTAAAAAAAAAAAATTCTTACATTGTTATACATTCCCTCCCCACAAGTCCACTCCACTCTGCAGCTTTCATTCTAGACTCTTGTCATGACAATAATACCTAATCATAGATCCCTTTTAAACAGTTCTCTCCCTCAGCTGTTTCAATGCAGTGTACATAATTTATTCCCTCTTAGTGTCCCCCCCATCCAGAGGTCAGTCCCACTTTACAACAGTGACACTATGCAGTGTTTGTTCTTTCATGACTGAGATATTTCACTCAGCAGAATGTCCTCCAGCGTCACCTATTTTGCATAATATTTCATGAATTCCTTGTTTTTCAGTGTTGCATAGTATTCCATTGTGTGAATATGCCACAGCTTCTCTATCCATTCGTTTGTTGATGGGCACTTGGGTTGTTTCCAACTCTTTGCTACTGTGAAGAAAGCCACAATAAACATGTTGTGCGTCTATCTGCTTGGATGTCAGTTACGGTTTCTTTAGGGTATATTCCCAGTAGTGGAATTGCTGGGTCAAATGGTATCTCTATTTCCAACTTTTTGAGAAGGTGCCATACAGCCTTCCACAGTGGTTACACCATTTTACAGAGGCTGACTTTCGAGAAGCAGAATGCCAAGTCTTTCTTTCAAGGTGCCCCTGGATGAACTCACCTTCAACCTTCTAATTAGCAGCCAAATATGTCTCCTGCTACCACTGATGGTGAATTTGGAGACTGGTAAAGAAACCGCTCTACTCATGAGCTCAAGGTCTGATGTGCCCCCACTGTAAGCTCCCCTCTCAAGCTTTTGAACTGTCCTGACGCCCTCTAAAAGGAACCCTTCATGTACCAGAAAATGAGCGCGTATTCCTGAGTAAGTAGCTCTGCATTTGAAGAGCAATAATCAGTGATTTACAGGCTCTTCACAACAATGACAAACACCTCTCATCCATCAGTTAGTAGTGCCACAGTGACCTGTGTGTTGCAATGTTACAGCGCCGTGTGTTTCAAGCACTAGCTCAGTTTCACGTGGTAGAGAGATAGGTGTTAGGCGCTCAGACCCAGACAGAGAAGGAAGAAAGGCTCAAGGGCTGACACCTGACCACTAGCTAACTAAACCCTAAGGATCTCAACAGACCAGCATCACAGCTGACGAGAGTGATTGTTCTCACTGGGAGCTCTGCCCTTTGTGTAATCACAACTCCACCCTCCACTGTTGACCTCTTCTCTATCTCCTGTGTGAGTCACAGATGCATTTCTTCCAAGGTCTGACTTCTGCACCTGTTGAAATCTGGACATACTGTTACCTTCTATTTTAAAGACATTTGAGGCCATCATGGTAGAGAATAGAGTTGAAAATGGTGTTTGTGGTGAGCCCAAGCTTTTAATTAATGATCTCTCTTGGGCAGATGAGGTCCAGTGGCACAGAGGAAAGTGTTATTGTCCCATAGGATGCTTTGTGGCTCTGTTTAACTTGAGAGACCGAGCGTAGAGACTAAGATGATGTATTTTTCGATGTATTTTTTTAACATTCACAAGCTCAGATGGACTGTTATGACCACTTTGGAGCAGACAACTGTCTGATCTCTACGCTGCCAGGAAGGACACAACTAAAGGAGTATGGTGGTGTATTAAGTGTGAAAAGAGCATTTCAAGATCTATCCCAAAGGAAAAGTCTGTCACAGACAGGATAATATACACACCTGCAACACCTGTTAAGATGACCGTAGTACTCAAGGAGGAGAGACACTAAGTAACATTTTCATAATTAATCACGTCCCATTAGGTAAATCTGTTTGTCAGGACTTCTTTGAAGGGCCAAAGAGCAATAACTGTCACTTTAAAGACGATCTTGTGCCTGACCTAAGGCATGGTATTTATAATTCTTTCATATGTATGTGAAAATTTGACCGTGAACAAGAAACACTAAAGTTGAATTGGTTCCTTTGACGTGTGGTTTGTACAGAGCATTTAAGATAGCATGGCTCCAATTCAGCATTCTATGCATTGCATTTCATATGGTAATAATAAAAGGTAAAACTGCTCTCAAAATAAAAAATAAAATACTGTGACTGACAAAATTGTAAATAGAACTGTCTTGGATGAATGGTAGCTTGAATGTTTCATAGAAGCAGAAACAGATCCTTTGAACATGCTGTAAGGAGAGGCCACTCTTTGAAGAAAAAAAATCGTATTTTGTCAAAGAGAAGATGAGCAGAAAAGAGAGAAACCTGGAGTGTGCAACACTGAGGCAGGGCTGCCGTGGTGGAGCTCTCAGAGATTGTGAGAACAGGGGAGGCTGAGTAATGCTGCACCAGATTCACACACGTCTCGGAGTCCACAGGACAACAAATTTAAGCCCTGAGGTGCATTATTGAAAGATGTTATGGGCAATATATTAAATGACCCCAAAAGCATCAAAATAAGATGAAGGAATCACTGTACCCGAAAGAACTCATTGACATGAAAAAGTTTCAGGAAGTATCATATGATCAGGAGACAATGGCGATGAAGGAGGAAGTGGAAGCTTCATTGAAGGCATTGGGAGGGGGGCAAGGGTGGCTCAAGAAACCAATGGGATACCATCGGACTTGTTTCAATGAACAGATGCAGCCTTGGATGCGCTCACTAGTCTACGCCAGGAAATTTGGAGGACAGCTGACTGGTCAACGGATTGGGAGATTGTCCATATTTGTTCCCAATCCCAAGAAAGTTGATCCAACTGAATGTGGAAACTATTGAACAATATCATTAATATTACACGCAAGCAAAATACTGCTGAAGATCGTTCAAAAAGGGCTGAAACAGTATATAGATAGGAAACTGCAAGAAATTAAAGCAGGATTTAGAAGAGGCCATGGCACGGGGGTTATCATTGTTGATATCAGATGGATCCTGACTGAAAGCAGAGAATATCAGAAGAATGTCTTTTTTTTTTTTTTTTTTCTTACTGGCAATGCAGAGGCATTTGACTTTGTGGATCCTAACATGTTGTGGCTGATATTGAGAAGAAGGGGAGTCCCAGAGCACTTAATAGTGCTCATGTGAGACCTATACTGGACCAGGAGGCCACGGTGTGAACAGAGAAGGGGGACATGGTATGGTATAAAATGAAGAAGGGAGTGTGTCAGGGTTGTATCCACTCTCCGTAATACTGAATCCGTATGCTGAGCAAATTACTCAAAAAGCTGGAGTTTTTGAAGAGGAATGTGGTATCAGGATCAGAGGGAGACTCATGAACAAACTGATTCATGCAGATGACACAACCTGGCTTGCTGAAAGTGAGGAAGATGTGAAGCACTTGTTGCGGAAGATCAGGGAATGCAGTCTTCAGTATGGATTCCATCTCAATGTGAAGAAAACAAAAATTCTTAGCACTGGACCGATAGGCAACATCATGATGGATGGAGAAGAGATTGGTAACTGTCAACAACTGCATCGTCCTTAGATCCCCTGGAAACAAACTTGGTAACAGCGCTCGGGAAAGAAAGAGACGTATTGCACTGGCAAAGTCGGAAATTAGGGATCTCTCCAAATTATTGAAGAGTTATGATGTCAGTTGGAGGACTAAGGAGTGTCTGGTTCAGCCCATGGTCTTCGCGATCATTTGTTATGCATCTGAGAACTATAAAATGAATAAGAATGACAGAAGATGAATCGATACCTTTTAGCTGTGGTGTTCGAGAAGAGAACTGAACATCCCATGGATGTCCAAAAGAACAAACAAATATGTCTTGGAGAGAGTACAGCTGGAATATTCTTTGGAGGCAAGAATGATGATGCACAAACTTTGGGGGTGTGGCTAAAAGGGGCTACTCCTTGAAGAGGGACATGATGCTTGGAAGGTTGGATAGTTGACGAAGAAGAGGAAGACCCTGACCAGGTGCATTGACACAGTGATAGCCACATGGGCTGGAGGATGTCAGGAAGTGTGAAGATGCCACAGGATAAGACTGAGTTCAGATCTGTTGTTTACATGGTGGCTTTAAGTCGTGTTCAGTGGCACAGAAAGAACAATGACATCTTGACAGCAGCACTGAGGAAACCAGAAGTCAGATTGCATTGGGAAGGGCGGCAGCCCAGGACCTGTCTAAATTACTGAGTCACAATGATGTCAATTTAAAGTCTAAGGCACACTAGATTTAGGTCACAGTCTCTCAGTCACTTGCTATAAATCTAAGAGGGAAACAATGAATAAGGGAAAAAGGGAAAAAATGATGAATTTGAGCTGTGGCATTGGAGATGTGTGCTAGACATCACACAGGCTATCAAATGAACAAATGGAGCTTGGAGGCAGTGATGGTGGAATTTCAGCTCACAAGTTGGGGCATGTTTCTATGTGAGGCTAAGCCCTAGAGAGACATCCTGCTCGTGAAGGTGGGGGATCAAGGAAAGAGAATAAGACCCTCAAGAAGACAAACCGACACGAGAGCATTTGTGGAGTGTAGGGTATCTCATAAGAGGATATTTCCCACCAGCATTTGGGTGATGGGAACCAAGTATCTTTGGAATGGCATCACCTGGGCTCCTGCATAAATGTCAACTACGTTCTTCATTCCCGTCCACATTTCAAATTCGGTTGATCCAGGAAATCACAGGTAGCTCGTGTGACCTTGTAGCCCAGCATTGGAGATGACACAATGCAGGACCACCGTCTCTCACCGTGTGGGTAGGTGAAGGGCTCTGGCGTCACCCACCTAACCAGATTTCTCTCTCTCGCAGCAGCCATGGCTCGATTCCTGCGCCAGGGGACCATCTGCTGTGTGTCTCTGGCGTCCTCAGACCAACCCAAGGTCTATGCGCACCGGGGCTGCCCCGTCAGCTGCGGGTCGCTGCCTGGAGAGCTGCGCGGGGCAGGGTCATCGCGCCCGTCCTCGCGTGTGGCATCGCAGGAGGATGGTGTGAAGGACCGTCCTAGGTTGGGGAACCTGGACCCCAACACCGTGGAACTGGAGACCCAGCTCAGAGCCATTGTACACTTGGACCCAACGATGCGCAAGTTCCAAGGTAAATACGACATGCTAATAACATCCCTTCACCTGACAGTGTACCTTGTCTGTTTAACCCTCGCCCCATCTCTCCTTCCCCCCTTTCCCCTTCCAATTTGATCCATTACCCACATAACTCCCAAGGTGTTAACGGCAATACACATTATATCCGCTCCTCCCTGTGCTCCAGTTTCATCTTCAATTCATCCACCCAGCACAGGACTCATTGTCTGTCCAGTCTGTGTATGCGCTCCTCAATCTCCCACCATAATCCTACTATTGGATCAGAGCAGGCTAATACAATATTTGTCCTCTTCGGACCGACGTAGTTTATTCTGCATAATGTCCTCGAACTCACCCATTTTCTTACTTGACAGGATCCTCATCTGCAATTGTCCTCTATTGTGAACTCAGGATGCTATGACAGGATAGCAAGGGTTATGAACAAGCAGTTGACCATTGCCTAACACTTGTCCCATCAATCAAAGTGCCACTAAAAAGCATTAATTGGGTTTCTATCAAAGACATGTCACTTTTAATCTACATTCCTGTGTAGAAAAGCTTTTCTATTAGTGATTAATGGGGTGACATGAGAGTACATTCTGATTTTAGCTGTACCCTAAATGTAAACACCCTGTCCTGTCCCCTGGGGAACTCCTGTCTTCATCTCCATGTCCACAAGGGACGGAAATCTCCTGCAGAGCCCAGGAGAAGGAAAGGGAAGGAAAATGCAGAGGAAAAACAAACATTTCAATGTCTATTGACAATAGTGAAATGCCTTCTTTGTTTCAAATATTTTATGATTTAAATATCTGTTTGAACAGAAATATGGAATTTGACTTTTAACCAAAAAGTTCATATCTTAGTGTGCGTGGTGTTCCACTCATGACATGAACAAGCCTCATCTAGCTATTCGGTGTTGCCTCAAAATATAAACACAGAAATTCCATATGATCCAGGTTTCCACTGCTGAGTGTACACGGTGAGAGAATTAGAACACGGACACAAGTGAATTTTTGTACATGAATGTTCATAGCAGTGTTATTTACCATCGTGACAACATGGAATCAGCCCAAAAGTCCAATCATGATCAAACAGAGTGAGAGATTGGGGTGCATTCACACGATGGAATACCGTGTGGCACTAAGGAGAATGGACCCGCAGAGTTCAACGGTGTTTCATTGTAGAAAGTATCAAGAATGAAAGTGATTGCATGAAAGGCCACGTGAATGAAGGATAATGTGAAGCACTATGTACATGAGCTCTGTGAACAAACCAATGTGAAAGAAATTGTTCTTTAAACAAAGAACAACACACACACACACACACACACACACACACACACAACCCCGCAGAACCCTCCCACCAAATGTATTTATAAATTATTATCATTGAATTCCTAACGTGAACAGTAGACACATGAGAAGGGAAACCCCTTCAATACAGAGCAATCCCGCTTTCTCAGGGAAACTGAGAACTGTATCCCCAGAACTCGACACTAGTTAAGAAAAGCTCCTTTAAAAAGTGAGTTCAGTGACAGAAGCTCACACGCGTGACTCGGTGGGGTTGTGCAGCCGTCGGGCTGAAGGCGGGCGCGGTGCTCTCTCTGACCGCCTTCTGTCTTCTCTCCACAGTGGACATGACCTTCGACGTGGACACAGCCCACAGGCGTCATTTCCAAGGACCAGAGGAGTGTCCGGTGCAGGCGGGTGAAGCAGGCCGTGGGGAAACACGCGGAGAGATTCACTCGCTCCGTCTGCGTCCTGGGCTCCTGTCGCTTCACCTGTGGCCGCCACTACTGGGCAGTGGACCTGGGCACCAGCCAGGAATGGGACGTGGGCATCTGTCGAGAGGCTGTGAATCGCCCCCGGGACATGGTCCTGTGCACACAGCTGGGCTTCTGGACGCGAGCTGGAGGCAGGGCCGCTGCTTCTCGGCCAGCACGGAGCCTCCGGCCTCCCTGAGGGCCAGCAGCCCACTGGCCAGAGTGGCCGTTTTCCTGGACATGCACGCAGGCAGGTTGTCCTATAACGCGGGGGACGAGGCCCACGTCTTCACCTTCACCGAGGTGTCAGCGGCAGAGCCTCTGCGCCCTTTCTTTTATCCTTCCCTTCCCAGAGCTGGGGACCACAACTGCCTGAGTCTCCCTCCTGGGCAGGAGGCTTCACCCAAATCCTAGAGAGACGGCTGGGCGCGCTCGTTCAGGGAACCCCTGGGCTTTGGGGGCGTTGTATCTAGAGCTCCCACTGAGGACTTTGTAATGAATTGGGTGATATTTTTTCTGTCCTCAGTCACCTACGAATCACTGCTTCCCTGTGGAAGATAGATTTGACCCTTGCCTTACCTTACACCAACCAATTGCGGATGACATGGTAACAGGAAAATTGTCCTTGCTTTAGAAATTACAAATGCAAATTGAGTGGATCAAATTGGCAAATAAAATTGGATATTAAAATGAATCACTGTCGTTCGAATCCACCAGATGCTCTGCCGGGAAAGGAGGGACAATCTCCTCCTGTACCAGTCAGATCTGATTTGACGGTACACTCACACAAAAATAATAAAATAAAAAAAATTTAAAAAAATTAATCACTGTCTGGTTTCTTTGTTTGTTTTATGTGTGTGGTTCGTCCGGCAGAGAGTGAAACTGGGCTGCTCCCTGGAGGCAAGGATTCTGAGGCTTCGTCTGACATACTTTGGACATGTTGCAAGCAGGGACCAATCCTGGAGAAGGACATCATGCTTGGGAGGGTGGAGGGACAGCGCAGGAGAGGAAGACCCTCGATGAGATGGATTGATTCAGTGATGGGGGTAAATGGGGTGGGTGTGTTGGAGACAGTGTGATTGGCACAGGACAGGGCAGGGTTTAGGGCTTTGTACATGGGGTCACTATGAGTTGCAGGCAACTCTATGGCACACAACAACAACAACAACAACAAGAACTACAACATCTTTTTGTTAGGAGGAACCTTTCTGGAAAGGACCTCATGCTTGGAGAGGTGGAAGGTGAGAGGCAGATTGGAAGCCCCGTAAAGAGATGTGTTGACACAAGGTTTGCATCAATAGGGTCAAGAAGGTCCGAGAGGATGAGGATGGCCCAGGACAGGCCAGGTCCCACCACGTGTCCACACCATGGGCTCTGGACTTCGAGCTGGCGCCAGGACCAGTGTTTCTCGGCCAGCACAGAGCCTCCAACCGCTCTCAGGGTGAACTTCCCGTTACTCAGACTCAGTATCCTTCCGGATCTGGAAGATGGAAGGCTTTATTTTTATAAAACAAGAGATGAATCCCTTCTCTTCACATTCTCTGAGATTGCCACGCCAGAGCCCCTGCACCCTTTCTTTCTTTCCTTCCCTTCCAAGACCTGGTGATCATAACTGCCTGAGAAGTGTATGAAGGCAGTTTCATGCAAATCCTAGAGAGACAATGAAAGCACTCATGCTTGAGTCTTTGTAGCCATGTCTCCCATTCTACTCATTTTTGCATAAATTGGTCGCCATGTTTTTCCATTCTTAGTTAACCATGAATCACTGTTTCCCTGTGAACAACGTATCCTACCTTGCCTTACCAATTATGGATGACATAGTAATATGGAAATAGTCAATGCTTTAGGAATCATGAGCTGACATTGATTTCATTAAGTCGTAAAAGGAAATTGCTTATTAACATTCAACACAATTCAATTCAATACAATTCAATTCAATTCAATTGGTTTCTCTTTTTGTGTCTTGTGTATATATTTCTGTTAGGAGGGGCCCTTCTTTGGAAAGGGACATCATGCATGGAAATGTTAAGGGTAGGCCAAAGAGGGGAAGACCCTCAAAGAGATGGAATTCTCCAAGTGGTACAGTTAAAAATTTGACACACTGCACACCCATGTTTATTGTGGCTTTGTTCACAATAGCAAAGAGCTGGAAACAACCCAAGCACCCATCCACAAACAAATGGATAGAGAAGCTGTGGTATATTCACACAATGGAATACTACTCTGCATTGAAAAACAAGGAACTCATGCAATATTATTCAAAATGGGTGACCTTAGAGGACATTATGCTGAGTGAGATATCTCAGTCACAAAAGGACAAATATTGCATAGGGCCACTCTTGTAAAACAGGACTGACATCGGGGTTGAGGGAAGACAGAGAAGGAGGGGAGGAATGATGTCTACTGCATTGAAACAGATGGGGGAAAGAACTGTTTAAAAGGGATATATGATTAAGTATTATTGTCACGACAGGAGTCCAGAGTGAAGGCTGCATAGTGGAGTGGAGTTTGGGGAAGAGATTGAATAACAATGAAAGAGTTTTTCTTTTACTTTTCAAGGAGAAGAGTGAATTAGGGAGGAGGGGTGGGCAGGGAGAAAAGTGCAACAATGAATGAATGGAAACCCCAAGTCTCTGTAAACGTTCATGAAATTTAATTTTAAAAAATTACTGGTGGCCTAGTGGCAAGAAGCTGCAACTGCAATCTCAGAGACGCACGGTTCAAATCCACCAGACGCTCTGCTGGAGAAGGAGGAACAATCTCCTCCTGTACTAGTCAGATCTGATTTGACGGTACACACAAAAAATAATGAAATAAAATAAATTTTTAAAAAATTACTAACAATTCACTTATTATTAAAAAAAAATTGAAACACAAAATGGACAGTTTTCAAGGCAACCTAGCCTCCAACCTGAAGGCTTCGAATACCTTTCGCCCAGCAGGGAGGCAGCTCGGGCTATGCTCCCGGCCTCAGACAGCATGAAAACCAAGAGTAACAGTAGTGCCTGCTGCAGACAGAGTGGGGCTGAGCGGAGGATAGCAGGCCTCTGGGGACAAACCCGCACCTTTCACATCACAGGCTTGTGACTGATAGTGAAAGAGTCGAGATGGTAACGGGGGTGGTGAGACTGTGCTTGGAAGGAAGAAAGGGCAGGATTCACGCATAATTCCGTGATGAGAGAAATGGGTTTTGACCTAGTTGTCGTTGATGTGAGCTGTTGTCCAGTTCATTCTGATTCACAGCATCCCTGTGGGTGCCCAGCACTGCTCCATGTG